ACGACCCTCGGGGTAAAAACAATAGTGAACTGGGGTCATCTGTTTCCAGAAGTGTAGAGAAAAGCGCCAGGGAGGGCCTCTAACTCCTGCCTAAACCTGCACATGTGAGATTATAAGTCAAACGCTAAGAGGCAGCAACAGAAGTCCTTGAATTAAACTGAGACCAAGGACATTTTTCTCACTAAAATCAACACGACACGGTCACTGAAACTCAAGATCCCAAGAGCACTTACTTCGAGTCTAATTTTCCTCACCCCTCAGTTTAAGGAAACAGAATTCCAAATTCATTCTGTTGAAGTACTCTACAAATCACTTCTGTGGCTATGTTAAGTCTGTATTATGTTATTCTGATTAATTTTAAGTAAATTTCTACACCAAGTCAAGTTCTCTTGAGAAGCTTCTTCAATTTTCCCACTAATATATTTCGACCAAAACAGAAATTCTGTGAAAGAATACCCTATGAAAAGCTAGGTACGTCTACTCTGTGTTACTGTATCACAAGATAAGGCAAAATAACTCCATAAAATGTTTAAACACTGAATATCTGGGCATGGCCAAAGCTTACAGTATAGTTCGTTTAATGTTTCTAACAGTGTGCCTGGTACTCAAAGTGGATGGGGTGCGCCACCCCAGCGTGAAGGCATCAGGGGTGCTACCACCAGCCATTTCCCGAGCTCTCGCAGTGCGCCCGGCACCGTCTCACTTTATCCCAGCAGCATTTTGAGAGGGATTATTTCAGATCAAACCCTGCAAGTCTAATCACAGTATGACAAGTCGTCAATCACCCACCTCCTCTGTGGAGGGACATTCCCGTTGTGTGCAGGTTTTGTAATCACAAAAAAGAAAAAAAAATGCTGGAAAGAGGTGGAACAGCGCTGGGCCAGGACCCCTTCTGCAGTGCGTCCTCCGGAGCTTCGACTGGCTCAGCACTTTGCACGAATCCTGGAGGACCACGTGCCCCATGTGCTTCGGGGCCCCCTCGCCCACGCTAGCTGGCGCTGGGGGCCTGCCCGCCCGGCACACAGTGCTGCTCTTTGTGCAGGGCCTGCTCACAAGCCCTCAGAAATAATCCACAGAACGAACAAGGACCTGCCATACAGCAGTGGGAACCAGACGCCGTGTCTTGTAATGGGCTACAACAGAAAAGGGTCTGAAAACACGTGTGTGTGTGTGTGTGTGTGTGTGTGTGTGTATGCGTAACTGAATTGCTTTGCTGTACACCTGAAACTAACATTGTAAGTCAACTACAATTAAAAATAAAATTTTAATAAACACATTGCAAACTGACTATACATCAGTGAAAAAGAAATGCAAAAATATCTTTAATTAAGTAAATAAATATTTTTAAAAGAAGAGAAATAATTCATTGAACTGTTTAATCCTGTGAATTACACGGAAGCAACTCACTTAATACAGATAGGTTGTGCGCTGCTGTAACAGGGCTTTCCCCGGGGGGGAGGAGCCTGGATTCAGCTCTAGAACACCTGGTTTTAGTCCAGGTTCCGTCACCAACGAGCCACCTAACTCTGTCCACGTCACTTAAACTTCCCTGAATTCTTTACTCATCTTTCAAGTGACAGAGAGTAAGACCCGCTCTCCCTCACACGGTTCCCATGTTTCCATTTTCCCAGAGGAGAGCAGAGGCAGGCAAGTGCGCCGAGAACAGCCATGCCCACTCTGCGCTCAGAGAGAGGAAAGACGGGGAAGGCCATGAGGACGGAAATGACCCCGGGGTGCACGGTGTGACATGGGGACACTGCAGGCCCAGCCAAGTGACTAGGGCCGCACGTAAATTCGCCAGCACAGAGGGCTCACCCGCAGAACACAGACGCATTTAGCACCTGCTGTCTCGTCAGAGCATTTATTCTAGAACAATGCAAACCATGACAGCAATCCACAAAAGACAAGTCTTTTCGCTCAGTAAGTATTATATTAGCTCGGAATCCTGGGTGCCGCCCCTGAAGCACAAAGCAGGTAAACTGTGGCGCAGTAAGCAGCAGCGAGCAGTGAGGGGTGATGGAGAGGCACGTGGTCAGGTGAGCAGTCCTGGTAACAGGAGCGAGGCAGCCCAGAGCGACTGACAGGCCCCTGTCCTGGGACTGGCAGCTCTCTGTCCTCACGGGACGGCAGGGCTCGGCTCTGAACTCCAGGTGCTCAGATGGGCCCCTCGTGGGAACAGCAGGTTTCCTGGACCACATCTCGTGTTTTGGTCAAAGCTCCTGGTGGTGGTCTAACGCTGGCTAACGATGCTGGCTACACCACAGATGCGCGTCCATGAAAATACTACGTATGAAAGACGACAGTCACCAGCCACTCTTAGGGAGAGACGTCTTCCCCCAAGGAGAGGGGCGCGGTGGTGACCATCAAGCACCCCGAGCCTCCACACTGTGCGCCACACGGCTTGCCCCCCAACACCAAGGTGGCACTCCTGTCGCCGCTGGAAGCCATACACATTCTTGGAAGCTTCCCGGAGGTAAATATTAAAGAGGTGGAGGCTGTGTGTAACTCCACGTCATGAACAGTCATGACGGCTCTATGCGGTTCCACCCCAACGCCCAGCTGCAGTGATGAAAAAGCCGGAGGACGTAAGGTCTGCGGATAGGAGTGGGTTGAACACCGATGACAAAGACATGATAGAATGTGCTGCAGCCACACAGTCACTGTGGGACAAGCGGTGACCCTAGGGGGGTCCTTCACTATGTGAAGCTATCGCGACACAGTTAATAGAACGCAGATAAGAAAACAGTGCGTGTAGATGGACTGCACTTCTGCAGATGTGCATGTGTGTGTACACGTGTGTCTGTGCATACAGACCTCTGCTCCCTGCGCAGAGAAAAACAGCTAGAAATGGCGATGACGAGATGCAGAATGGGACGTTTGAGAGGCAGGACTGTGGTTCTCACTCTCGTCATTGAGCTTTGCCGCCTGGCACACTTGAATTGAAGTGTAGTTGATTCGCAAGGTTGTGTTAGTTTCTGGTGCACAGCACGGTGATTCAGTCACACGTGTATACACATACTCTTTTTCAGGTTACTTTTCATTGTAGGTTATTACAAAATGTCCAATATAGTTCCCTGTGCTCTGCAGTAGGTCCTTGTTGTTTGTCTGTTTTATATACAGTAGTTTGTATCTGCTAATCTCAGACGCCTAATTTATCCCTCCCTCCCCCATTTTCCCCCTGGTAACTGTAAGTTTCTCTCTGAGGCTGTTTCTGTTTTGTAAATAAGTTCATTTGTCTCCTTTTTTTTAATTCCACATATAAGTGATATCGTGTGGTATTTGTCTCTCTCTGACTTATTTCACTTAGTATGAGGATTTCTAGGTCCATCCACGTTGCTGCAAATGGCACTATTTCATTCTTTTTCGTGGCTGAGTAGTATTCCAGAGTGTGTGTGTGTGTGTGTGTGTGTGTGTGTGTGTGTGTGTGTGACCACATCTTTATCCAACCATCCTGCACAGCATTTTTGACATTTTTCTCGGCAAGAACTACTTTTACAATCAGATTTTTTAAATGAAAAGAGAGTAAATTCCAAAAGAAAACTACAAAACTCTTTGGGCAACTCTAGTCCCATTGGTATGAGCCTGGCAATCTAGTGCTGCCTTTGGGAGGTGGGGGCTCTGGTGGGCTCCTCCAGCTCTGACTCAGCGTCACCTAACCTGTCTGATCACAGCGTCCTCAACTAGAAAATGGGGAGTTTTGAGAAGATAAGCCAGAAGCTTCCTTCCTGTCCTAAAATGCTAATTGTTACCTTATAATAACATCTTATTTTTTTAAATCACTGAAAGGTACGGAGGAAACAGAGACTCCAGCTTGAACAGATACCTCAAGGGGTACTTCTCAGAAGTGTTGCGTGGCCCCTCTCCTCGCCCCACCTGGAGGGGTGCCTGCAGGTACCCAGGTGTTGAGGATAATCATACACCATTTCCTCTCTCTTTTTTAAGGCAGCCCTGAAGTTCAGTGACTGCCAGGATTGCTTTCTCGTTGGAAATCTGCCCTCCCGCTCCTGGCAAGTTACCATCTAAGGTGGGTAAGCAATAAATCTGAGTTGATTTATCACACAGTCGTAAAGGGCAGACACGAAGGAAGCAGCTAAACGCTCCCGTGGGCTGGTGCCTGTGGTCAATGCCAGAGCCCCTCAGCATCCTTTCCTGGAGCACAGGCTGGAGTTCAAGGACACAGAGAGGCCCCACTTCTGTAAGACGTGGGGGAGGAGAACCGGCACTTACCCAGCGCGGGCACGTGACCGCCACTTCATCCCGCAATCCTCACAGCAATCCTCTAAGACAGAGTCTCATCTCCTTTTCACAGAGGGGAGAACTGAACAGCAAAACCATCACTAAGACAGGCAGATGCTCTAAAAGCAGCTCACCTTTGAAACACTCCACAAAGAGTCCATTCATAAAATAAAAAAGTAAAAAGCATCTTGCATTCTAAATATCACCAGGCCATCTCGCTCAAACCTGGTGATTTCTGTTACTTATTAAAAGGTGGATCTCTTTTAACTTACATGTGAAATGGGTTTTTTGGTTAAGAACCAAGTGATCTGAATGGAGTGATGGATGGTTCCATCCTGCAGACCCTTCAAAAGTCTACTAAGAACAAAAATGTTGCGAGCATGGAGCAGATCTTTAGAACTACAGTTAGCTTCAACACTGTGTAACCTAAACTAACTTTACCTGACACCCATCTTTCCAAATCCCCAAAACAAAGGGGATGTGAGAAGTCTTAGTGAACGGCCGCACGCTGTGTCTCGGGAGACTCTCTCCCTGATGTGGGCTCGGGCCGTTCTCACCGGCTCCCATCATCCTGGTGACGCGTGTGCTTTGACAGGCAGGATAACCTTGCACAGCGGTTTCCGGCTTCAAGAGCAACATGCCTTCACAGGCATTCCCTACAAAATGCTGTTTTTATAAAACTTCCATTATTCAATACTGACATTTTAATTTTTACCAAATCATCCAGTTTGTCCCATCTTTAGCAGTTAGGAGTGAACACTTACTTCCTTCAACTTTCTCATCTTTGCAGGTTTTCTGGGAACTATATGGATATAACTGCAAAAGAAGAAAGAAAAACCTAATTAGCAGGTAAATACTAGGGGGAGGGCATAGCTCAAGTGGTAGAGCGCAGGCCTAGCCTGCCTGAGGCCCTGGGTTCAATCCCCAGTACCTCCACTGAAAAACCAAACAAATAAATAAACCAAATTACCTCCCCCCTGCAAAAACAAAAACAAAAAAAGGAAGGTAAATCTTGGAAAATTTGAGCCTCTTTAGGAAGGACTCCTTTCCAGCATTCCAACATACAACTCCACAGCAACTTAAAATTAAAATCAAGAGCACCATAAATGCTCAGGAAAATGTTCACACTGGCCACCACTGGCATTACCCAGGAAAACAGACCTTAAGTGTCACTGCCTTCCCTCAGACAATGTTCCTAATCAGAGAAGGACCTTGGAGGTTGACCAAAGAGGGGGCCTTTCGCAGGTCACTAACAGCTCGTCCAGGGTCCCACCGCTGGCCAAGGTCAGAGCGGAGTCCCAGACGCCTCACCCAGCTCCCTCTCCCCTCTACTGTCCCCTCTTGTCCCACAGAACGTCATCACTGTCCCCATTCTGCCAAACTGAATGCTGGAAAAGAACCACCAGAATTAAATGCATCTGAGTCCCACTAGTACTACTTTTGACCCTTGGGGACGTTGGGAGAGCCTTCCATATGCTTCAAAAATCAAACAAGTATTTTTAATGATAACAAATAATCCCTCAAGATTTATGTCTGTTAAGGTTAATCCCTGATTTAAAACAATTGTTATGTCTTTGAGACTGCTGTTGCGGGTGATGGTTTTAGCCCTAGTCAGAGAAGGACTAAGATTTGATAGATGGAAGGAAAAAGAAATTTGTAAGTGTTCAATACATAGTCAAGGGTCACAAGCGCCAATGCCTACAGAGGCCGGGGAGGCAAACGACGGTGCTTGGGAAGGGTGTATTAGGGAACGGTGGGGACTGTGGCTAGCAGGAGTGAGGTCCCACGGGAGGTGTGCGGTGCTCATACTCCAGGGCCCCGTTTTCCTGTGGAAATGCAGGCAACTAAAAACTAAGTCCCCTGAACAATCAAATCTTCTCTCTTTTAAATGGAAACCAAAATTTCCTATCACATGAATAACCCCCTTATAAAACGTTGCAGCCTGGAGCTGAAGACCTTAAGTCCTTGCTTTCTGCCTGTTGACCAGATAACTAGAACTATCTGCATTATCTATGCTGCAACGGGTTTTTATTATTTTTATCTAAAGACACCTCTTTTTGGTAATGACAAAGGTGTTAAAAAAAAAAGCCTTGAGTAGAGAGACACAGTGCAGAGGTAGGGTGCACGCCTAGCAAGCGTGTGGTCCTCGGGTCAATCCCCAGCGCCACCATTAAAAAGAAATAAATGAACAGAGACCTAATTACCTCCCCCTCAACAGTAAATAAATAAAAAGGTTTTTTTAATTAAAAAAATGCCTGATTTTTCTCAATATACCTTTAAAGGTTTTTGTTTCATTATCTAGTCAAGTTGAGATTTTTAAGGACTTCATTTTTTAATTTGTAATAGAAGTTTACAGCTTGAC